GATCTAAGGAAGAAATTCTTTACAATGAGGGTGGTGAAACACTGGAACAGGTTGCCCAGAGAGGGGGTGGAGGCCCCATCCCTGGAAGCATTCCAGGCCAGGTTGGCCGGGGCTGTGAGCAACCTGATGTGGTTGGAGATGTCCCTGCTCCTGCAGGGGGGTTGGACTAGATGGCCTCTAGGGGTCCCTTCCAACCCAAAACATTCTAGGATTCTAGGATTCTAACAAAAAAATCCAAGCTAGACACTACTGGCTTTAGCAAAGCAACCGCAAGCTGGACAATGCTGATAACGAAGCAACCGCAAGGTAGAAAACACTCATTTTAGCAAAGTAACAGCAAGCCAGACAATAAGGCCTAAATTTTAGGCATGTAAGCCGTTTTACATCCGGGGTCTTTTTGACCCTTCGGGTATCGAGTGCACTAAAGCGCTAGCCGAGGAGACGATGTCCTCGGCTTGTGGGAAAAACCTTAAGTTTTTCCTTTTTTTTTCCTGAAGAGGGAAAGTCGTACAGGCCCGGCAGAAGGCCGTACAAGAACAGGAGAGCCGGAGGGCGGCAAAGAACTGTTTGTTGGCCACCCCGAAATTGGGAATCGGGGCAGCCACGCAGACTTTGCACCCCCCAGACGATGGCGATTCTGCTAAGCCTAAAGATCTGCAAGAGGGCGACGCGTCCCCTCAATTCCCGAACCCCGACCCGCTTACGGAGGGACAGAATCTCCAACCACATCAGGTTGCTCACAGCCCCGGCCAACCTGGCCTGGAATGGTCCCAGGGATGGGGCCTCCACCCCCGCTCTGGGCAACCCCTGCCAGGGTTTCACCACCCTCATGCTCAAGAATTTCTTCCTCAGATCCAGTCTAAACCCACCCTGGTTTGGTTTAAAGCCATCCCCCCTTGGCCTGTCCCAGCTAGCCCTACTAGTCAAGAGCCAAAATATCCCCATCCAAATTAAAGAGGAACCGCGAGGGGGAGGAATCCCTCTCATGGACTGGAGGAAAATAAAGATTGCGTGCGCCGGCTGGGCCCCATCGGCCGCGCTAGCATTCCCAGTCTGGGTGACGGAGGAGGCACAGAGGGTCCACGCGCCAATAAACCCCAAGGATATACAAGCGATTGTTAAGGCAATTGCGGACAAAGGGCTTAATTCTGCCATGGTCTCCACCCTCACAGATGGTGTCTTCAGGGGAGACGACATGCTCCCGTTCGATATAAAACAAACTTGTAGATTGATCTTTGGCGGGGCGGGGATGATCGTTTTTAAACAAGAATGGGAGGACAACTGTGCGAGGCAACTGGCCCAAGTAACTGGGGGGGATCATCCACTGCACGGCTCCAACCTGCAGCGGTTAACGGGCACAGATCCCGTAACGATCACCCCCCCGGCGCAAGCCCAGGGCCTGCGGGCCCATGAAGTTATGGCTCGCGCGGCCAGAGAAGCTATTCGCACAGCCTCCAGAGTCATCGCCAAACCATCGCCATGGTCCACAATAAAGCGAAGTGAAAGGGAGAGCTTTACACAATTTGTAGATGGTCTCCAAGCGGCGGTCG